ATATAGGGCACTTCTTCCACCCAGGCACTTTTGCATTCCATTATCTTCTTCTTGAGGCCATCCATGATGGTACGGTTGGTGTTCTCAACCTGCCCATTGGTTTGGGGGTACCCGACCGCTGCATAGCTGTGTTTTATGCCCCAGCTCTGTAGAAACTCATTGAACCCTCCGGCCTCGAATTGGGTTCCGTTGTCAGTGATGATCTGCTGGGGCACCCCAAATCGGCACAAGATTTGCTTGGAAACGAACTTCGTCATCTGTTCCGCAGTGATGGTTGGCACGGGGGCGGCTTCGACCCACTTGGTAAAGTAGTCAATCGCGACCACCAGGTATGTGTTGTTCCCTGTCCCCCGAGGCAAAATACCGACCAGATCGATGCCCCACCAGGCAAAAGGAATCGCTGTGCTTATCGGGGTATAATTCGTCGCCGGTCGCCCTGGCATCCTCTGGAATTCCTGGCAAACCTTGCATTTGCGCACGTACTCTGCGCAATCTCTGATAATCGTTGGCCAAAAGTATCCTTGTAGGGTCACCTTCCTGGACATCGTGAAGGCTCCCTGATGTGCTGAACATATTCCCTCATGGATTTCCTCCATTAACTTCTGTGCCTCGCCCGCTCTTAAGCACCTCAACAATGTACCATTGTACGATCGCTTATACAGCCGATTGCACTCCAACGTGTAGCTGGGTGCACGTCGCTTCACCACCTTTTCCGCGATTGGGTCGATAGGTAGCGACCCATCAAGGATGTACATGGTAATCTCATCAATCCAATCCGGCTCCTCTTTGAGTGTGATGATCAGCACTTGTCCGGGACTGATGCTTGGCTCGAGCAACTCTTCTTCCTGGGTCATTGCCTTAATATGATCCGGGGAATCCGGACCAAGCTTTGACAAGATATCTGCCTCAGCGTTCTCTTCCCGAGGAACCTGCTCTATCCGGTACGCCTTGAATGCCTTCAGCAACTCCAGGGCAGTGTCTCTATACTTCTTCATTCGTTCATCCTTGGCCTCAAATTCTCCAGTGACGTGGCCTACCACTAGCTTGGAATCGCACCGGACTTGGATTCGCTCAGCTTTTAATGAGGCTGCCAACCTCAAGCCGCAAAGCAGTGCCTCATATTCAGCCTCATTGTTCGAGACTTTAAACCGGAATCTCACGGAGTAGTATGCCTTGAACCCTTCCGGAGATATCGCCACGACACCTC